ATATATATCTGTATATACAAATTAGTTTAGATATACAGCTACTTCCTCTTAGTTCAATGAGAAGAACGATTTGTACTAATACTGTTTAGACAAGATATCATGGCTGCATCTTGTACTGTGAATAACCATTATGAAGAAAACAATATGCAGTGTATTGATTATTGTAACTATCCCACTAACCTGTTTTGAGACTGTCTCATTGCTTTCTCAATAAAATTAATTAAAAAAAAAAAAGAAACCAGCTAACACTGAAGGCTTAAAAATATCCAGAGTCTCAGAAAATAGTAGTGTCCAGGTTTCAGTGAATTATTCATCAGACTAAGCAAAAGATCTGAAATTGTATGAAAAGTAAAAGTCAACAGATGCCAGTATTTAGAGGACAGAAATATTCGAAATACCTGACACAATGTAAATGCACCCATCGGCAAATGTGGGCAATTACAAGCATTCCCAAAATGTGAGCTCAGGAAAAAGGCTCCACCAGGCAATGGGAAGCCTTTGCAAATAAAGGAAGACATAAGGAAGTGCAAATGGCAGTTTTAAAGCTGAAAAGTATAATAAATGAAATAAACTGAATGAATAAGCTCAGCAGCGGAATGAAGAGGACGGAGGAGTGAGTGATCTTGCTCAAAGAGTAATAGAATTTTCCAGTCTAAATAGGCAGGGACTTGATCAAAGCACTGAACAGGTCATCAGGGACCCCTGCAACTATAACAGAAGCACTTACACTGTGTCTTGGGTGCCTTGGAGGACGGGAGAGTCATTGGAGTTGGGGAGGAGGAAGGGAGGGCAGGCAGGAGAAGGTCAGTGATGAAAATGTTCATCACAAAGTACTAAATTTTTATGAGGCCACTGTGACATTTCTTCTTTGGCTTTCTTCCTCCCTCTTTTTCTGAGGCACTTACCTTTCCTACCTCATCACTCTTTACCTTATCAAAGGACATAAGAAAAGGTCTTCATACTTTTGCTGTTTCAGTAGTACTGATATTACGACCTGTCATTTCCTAAACAAAACAGAATGTATTTACCGAATAAGAATTGGGTAAGGACAAAATCAGAGGTACCAGAATTTCATGTAACATGTTGCTGTTTAATTGCCAGGAACTGGGGAGTGGTGAAATGATTGGTCGGACTCTTGTATCGCCAGCTATTTCTGGGAAGGATTTTGAGAGTGCTGAAGGCATGCTGCTTTTTGAGCCCGGCCAGAGAAACACTGTGTTGGAGGTCGTCCTGATGCCAGAGACCGGATCCTCCAGTCCCTTTCCTAAGCGCTTTCAGGTTGTGCTTTTTGGCCCTAAAGGTGGTGCCAGAATCCACGAAGTCTATGGGACCGCCAACGTCACTCTTGTCTCTGACGCAGCCTCGCAGGCCCTGTGGGGGCTTGCGGATGAGCTGCAGCAGCCCCTGGACGAGGATATCCTCAGGCAAGTGCTGCATGGCATCAGCGTTAGAGTGGCCACTGAGAGCACAGAAGAGCAGCTCAGCGCTGCGGTGCATCTGATTGAGAAGGTACGAGGTCCTGGTGTGTGCGCGTTCTCAGGCAAGCAACATTAAACTTCCAAACCAGAGGTCACAGTCTGATACAATTAGGGTGGTACAAAATGAAGATAAAGTTGTATTCCTGAATGGGAACAGAATGCACTACACCCAGCACTGCTTTTCTGGGTGGTGGCTGCTGCCCGAGTGTAAAACTTTGGGATTGGTAGTGTAGGTCAGCAGGGTGGACGCCCCAGTGTCTGAAAAGAGGCAGAAGATGCTAGAAGCTGCAGGGTTCTTGCTGATTGTCCAGAACCTGGCTGATGCTTACCATCCCCAGTTGATCCTGCTCCTTCAGTCCAGGAAAAGAAGACTTGGTGGAGGCTGTCATCTGCATAGTCCTTTCCTTTCAAATGCCATAGAAAGGACCAGTTCTCTTCTCTGTTTCTCCTGCGCACTGAAACTTTCACAGGCAAGATAAATTAAGGAACGGACTGGTGGTGTTGAGGACACCAAATACGTGTGTGGCAAGAACATTATTTTGGCATTACTGGTCATAATGACAAACAGTGGAAAAATTATGGCCCTTAAGGGGACCTGGCTAAATAAGTTCAGGTGTGTGCGTGACATGCAGTCCCATATCACTTAGCAGCATGTACATTGGTGGTCCCATAAGATTACAGTGGAGCTGAAAAATGATCATAACTTAGTGTTTTTACTGCGCGATTCCTATGTGTATATGTGTTTAGATACAGAAATACTCACCCTTGTGCTGGGGTAGCTGCAGCGTGCAGGACAGCGGTGTTCTGCTCAGGCCAGGGGCCTAGAGACAGTGGTGACGCTATGGAGCCAAGGTGTGTGAGGCAGCGTGCACTCTGGGGTTCACACCAGAAGAGCCTGCCTTGCGTTCTCAGAACGTGTGCCCGTTTTAAGCGATGCACGCCCACGCCCACTCCTACTGGTCTCCATTTCTCTTCTCCACCCTGGTAGCTTATAAAATTTTTCCCACAATTGATTCAGGTCTTCTCTTTGTTCATAACTGAATTTTGGTGATTGCAGGTGTTCCTTTGTTGTTATTTATATCCAGTAGCCTTTCAGAGCCAAGCTAGTTATTTTTATCACACACTTTTTGATATTATCTTATTTCATATAAAGATTATGTGTGACGTTTTACGATAATACTAGCAGTGATTTCGATTGCACTCAGTGTTTTACTGTCTGTGTTTGTATTTCATGCTCACAGTGAGTTTTCAGGACTGGTCTGTGCCCGAGTCAGCGTGCACTGACTTTTGGGCCACTGGGTGGGGGCCTGGTGATCAGTGCAGGGGCATCAGGTGTGGTCCTGGGCTGGCCACGTCACCAGCTTGCACCCTGGGACAAGCTGGTTGTTCTCTTTCTGTCCCTGCTGCCTTCTCTGGAAACAAACAAACCAAAAAAAGAAAAAAAAAAAATAACAGTAGGCCCTTCATCCCAGGATTCCTACAAAGATTAGAGAAGTTAGTGTCAAGTCCTGAGGACTACAAAGTGTCTGTGCCAACCAAGTTTTATAGAAATGTCATTGCTTTTGTGTATTTTAGTAATTCTTTTCTATATTTCCCTTGAACACAAATAAAGTTTGCATAGCTTTAAAATTCTTGCTTTCTTTATTTGGCACAGGGTCTTGCTCTGCAGCTCAGACTTGTAGTGATCCTCCTGTCTCAGCTTCCCTGACACTGAAATTACAGGCATGCACCACCACACTTGATTTCAGTGGCCAGGATGGCACAGGGCCAGCAAGGCATGCAGTATGGGGGATCGAGCCCCAGCTCCTAAAATTCTTGAATTTAACCTTCAATTCTTAGATTAATAGCTTTTTTTTTTTTTTTTTTTTTTGAACCTGGGATTGAACTCAGGCCCTTGCGCTTGCCAGGGAAGCTCTTATTCTACTCAGCCATCTCCCCAGCCTCCTAACCTTCAATTCTTAGCATTCTGCTCATGCTGTTCTGCTGGCTTCTGGCATTTTATTTTCAGAAATGTCTAATGTCACCTGACTAATATTTTAATTTAAAAATTCATTAGTTTTATTAGCTTATTTAAATTCTTTTACATTTATTTATCCATAGAAATTATATTTATTTCATTTCTTTCATCTCACTGAAAACTGTTTTCAGTCTTTTTGATTTGGACTAGATGTATGAAGTACTGTCTTTTGCCAAAAATCTCAAATTACCTGGGTTTTATTTGTTTGGTTGTTTTGGTTTTGGTTTTTTTTTTCTTTCAACATAGTGTGGTTTGTGGTTGGAGATCAGCTTAAGAGCTATCTGTACTATCCTGTATTGCCTCTGATGTTAAGATTTTATGTATAGCACAAGGAAGCTAATGCTGACTATGTTTTCCTAAGAATAAAGACCTATTTTTATAGCAAAAAAGTGTGATGTTAAACTGAATTTTAATTTTTCTGTTAGTAATTTTTCCTATCTGATTTCCAGTATGAGGTTTTTAAACTAGGTTTAAGCATTTTAAAAATCATCTTGTTATATCTGATGTCTCTTTGCCTGATTTTCTCTAATATACAAGCAACCTGCATTGCTAGACATATTTCTTTCATTTATGAAGCAGCTGGGTTATTTTCCTTTTCTTCTACCTGCTCTTTTATATGTTTATATCTTAGGGATTTGCCCCAGGATTTACCCTGCTTATCTGTTATACTTTCTCTGGGTTCCAGAAGATTTTTCTTGAACTTATTTTCTATTTGTCATATTTAATTTGTTTATCTCAGTGTCAAGTAGACTGTTTTCAGCCTTTATTTGTAATTTTTGCAGTGTTAAATTTTTATTGTCTTCTTTGTCATATCTTCCTGCAGACTTTTCTCCATTCTCCTTGTCCTTGAGGTGGCTATTCTTATAAATACACATCTTGAATTCTGCTCTCAGCTTGGAACTGTACTAGATTACAAAATTATTTTAAAACATGGGAAATATGAACTCACTTCTCATGGAACTCATCTAATAGGACAGATAAATCATTTCAAAGTTAGAAATCTATTAGTAAAGGTACATGTGAGCTACAAGGAGGCATCATATTTGTTAGACAGGAGGCAGACTGTAGGAATCCTAGAAAATTTGATGACTCCAGAGTTTGAAGATGGACAGGACTTATTAGACCCTTCAGGGTGCAGGGGGTGACGAGTGAACAACTCACCCCCAGGCCGAGTCTGACAGCAGAGACAGGGTCCCCACATTCTGCCAGCAAACACTGCAAAGGTGGTTTTACCTTCTTCCAAATGTCCTTGTTTCTCGAACAATAACCCAGCTCATTAAAGTAGGAGGTTCAGGCTGACTGAAAAGGCCAGTGTGTGAAAGGTCTTGAGCGCTCTTAGCTGAAAAGGTTTTCTGATTCAGTACTTCTTGAAGACTTAGTGATATATGGAAACATCTGTCCACTGAGAAGCAGATAATGAAGATAATCTCACTTCTATTATGAACAAATATTCTTGAGGTTCTTGTTTCTTTATCTGTTGGGCAAAAGAAAAAGAATCTTTGGAGTAGGTGTAAAGTGGGATTAATTTTAACTCATGATGTTAAAAATATTGCAGTTGAAATGAAGTGATCCATGCAACCATATTTGAAATATAATATGATAGCGGTTTCTCTTAAATTCATCATAGGTTTATCTTTATTTTGTTAATATTAATAACTGAGTAAAGAGCACATAGGATATATACACTGCATGTAATTTAGGAAGGTTAGTTTCTCACACATAATGTCCATACTTCACTTTTTTCAGATAACTGTGGAAGGAAGAAATCAAGGTTTTAGTATTGAAAGCCGAACTCTTCTTTACGAGATTCTCTGTGCTCTCGTTAACCCAAAGCGAGAAGACACCAGAGGGTTCAGTCACTTCACTGGCGTGACTGAGAATTTTGCCTTTTCTCTGCTGACCGATGTCCCCTGTGGCTCTGCTGCTGAGAAGTAAGTGGCTTCTACCGCCAGGCGCAAGAGTGGAAGTGCATCTGATGGTCGGAAGCAAACAGGGCCGCCACACCAGGGAGAGGAGACGTACACTATCACGAAAATGTTCTTCTCCTTTTAAAGATGTCTTGAAAATCCAAAAGTCATGTTGCCTACTCTCATTTAATGGGTAGAGTATGGATTCTGAGTTCAAGAGAAGGAAGCTACCGCTGCCCACAGGAGCGCTTCCCGCACCGTTACTGTGCTTCTCCTGAGGGTGCCGGGTGTTGGGTGTCTGTGGAGACAGCTCCTAGAATATGGGTGGCCTTCAGGCTCTGTTTCACGGCAGATTTTTCATGCACAGTGGCATATAGGTGACAGTCATTAGGTACATTGGAACACGGTAGCAGAAAGCTAAGTGTTTTATTTTTATTTCAGAACATAGAAATCATTTGTAAAAATGTGGTTCAGAATTGAAATTCCTCTTGATTTTTGCAAAGTATATACTCCGTAAAATCAGAGACTGTTATTTAACTTATAAAATGGGACACATTTAATTAAGATGCTTTTATAAAACTTTGTCAATTTTATTATTCTCTCTGAATGTTGTCAGTTTATTAAGCCACATTGAAACTTAGAGGAACTTTGAAGAATACTTTTTAAAACTTTTATGATAATTTAAATCATCTCCCTATTCATAGGGCTGTTTGTGAACTCTGACAGGGTAACTAAAAGTTGTTTGGATACATAAAAGTGCTCATGTTAGTCCCTAAGTTTCAGAACACATGCAGTTAGAAGAGATAGTCAATCCACATGAAAGAGAAAGCAAGAGACCAAATAATACTATAACGATGGCATTATGTACACTGTACCTTTGCTGGAGTTCTGACTCTGCTCATTTGAACAATATGATTAGGTTCTTTTGTTAAAAATACTACAATGTTGAAATTATAATGGTTAACTGTAGAAGAACTGAAAGCGGATTGGGTGTGGTGCCTCTGGGTTGGTGGAGTCATTGCCATTAGAGAGCAGAGTCCCCCAAAATACAATTTAATCAAGATGAGTGGATGTGGATGAAAGTACAGCCCGTGTTAGGCAGTGCTTTGTTTTTCTCTTACAGAAGCAAAACCATCCTTGACAGCTGCCCATACTTGTCAATACTGGCTGTGCACTGGGGCGCCCAGCAGATCAACGGGCACAAGTTTGAAGGAAGAGAAGGCGATTATATTCAGATTCCTGAAAGGTTTTGGGACGCTCCGGATGCAGAAGCGGAGCCTACAGACACTGCCTGTAAATTAGTCCAGTTTACAGAGTATAGCAGCCAGCAGTGGTTTGTGACTGGAAGCAGCCTTCCTGCCCTGAAAAGTAAGGTAAGCTATGGCTGAAAGGGTTACGTGGTTGGCGTCTTTTTCTTTTTGTAGCAGATGCACTCAGAATGCATTTGTTTGATCAGACTTTTGGCAAGTGCTACCCACTGTATAAGTTCATCTTTATGGATCATTTGAAAATGTTTTATTTGGAAGTGTTTCATATTTTATAAAGTAAAATATGTATGTGTATATGTGAGAAAAATGAAAAGATACAGCTTTCTCTAATAGACCTTATAATATACCTCATTCCTGATGACGTCAGCTAATTATAGTTAAACTTTGTCAACTGAAGACTTTTTACTGTGGAAAGTAACAACAATTTATGGAGGGAAATATATGAAGGACCTTGGAAAGCATATGTAGAAGTGGCTCCAAAATATAAAAACTCTGAAGAAGGAATCTTAAAGTGCATCCAGCGGGGGTAGAATGAACGCAGTAGAAGCCAGTCAGGCGGCGGAGCGTTCATAATGGAGCGAGCTAGCGACGCAGGAGGAGTCGAGCGGCCCGTTAGCAGGAAGGTGAAGCTCAGCGAGTGCAAGGCTGAGTCGCGCCACTGAGCGGAAACCGGCATCACGTTTTCTGCTCCGTTTGGCATCACAGGTGTTATCGTTGAGTGTGAAGGGCCAGAGCTCACGAGTCCTGGCCAACAACAATGAAGTTCTCTACAGGATTTATGCTGCTGAGCCCAGAATTGTTCCTCAGACGTCCCTCTGTCTCCTTTGGAATCAGGCCACCGAAAGGTACATGTTAGTAATTTCTTGGGTTTGAATTTCAGTCCTCCTTCCATTTCCTCGCTGTACTCACAGCGGTGGTGGCTTCTGGGGGGACTGCAGGCTGGGGAGGGTCCCTGCAGTCAGTCAGGTGGAGCTGCGCTGGGAAGGCGCCAGCCTTGTGCCCAGGGCACGCGCAGCCCCCAGGCCTGCGTCTGTGTGCGTGCAGGGCTTGCTTCGTTGCCTCTTCTCTTGGGTGGTAGCGTGAGCCCTGCTTAATCTGGATCACCTTTCTACAGCTCTCGTGAGCTTGTTGGGCAGGAAAGGAGCTTCCTTCCACCTGGGCTGGTGACTCGGACACTGATGGCCTGCGTTTAGAGGGGTCAGCAGGATGGGGAAGTCCACTCCCCAAAGGGCTGGCAGCGTACTTGGGGACGAGGCCAGCTGTGGGAATGGTAAGAAGAGAGCAGCTCTTTCTTTGAGTCGCGTTGGCCTCAGGACTCATTTCTGAGTAGTTACTGTCACTCATCCAGAAGAGCGAAATTCTATACCCATCATGAGATTCTGTTCTTCCTGAGTTTCACCACATAAATAAAGCTTCCAGTCAGGTTTAATAGCTTACTGAGCACTCAGCTATCTTGTAACACATCAAGATTCTGCTTAATCTTCCTTTGTGAGAAGACATTTGGACTTGAATTCCTAATGCCTAATTGCAGATCTTAAACTCTGATTATGATGGTTCAATCCCGATTTCCTAGCGTTGGATGATGCATAAGTGAATAGGCAACGAAGTAAAAACCATACTCAAAGTTTGCATTTGATCTTTCCCCCTATCAGGAGCACATAAGGGGTGCTCTCCTGATGTGGAAAAGCCCACAGAGCCACAGCTGTCAGGGGCACGCTGGCATGGCATAAAGGACCGAGACTGCCGCGTGCCCCGTGGCTAAGCTGCGATGCGCTGGGTGCATTTGTGGCTGACAGTGTCTCCCACATGCAGCGGATTATCAAGACACAGCCCCAAGATGAGTTTCAGGTGTTCTATAATCTTCTGTATATGACCAGCAAGGGATGTGTCCAGCTTGAATCCGCAGTTTGGGTTAGGAGGCTCTGAGTCCTGACAAAGTAGTCGTGGCCAGAGATGCAGTGGGTGAAGGAGGTGCCCCAGTCATGGGAAGTGCAGGATGCACCGACTTGCTGGAGGGGCCTGGAAGTGCTTGGCAGGCACCTATGTGCGTGGCTCCAGAGTGCACAGAAGGTGAGGGCGAAACCTTAGAGACGTTCACAGGCAATTCTGTAACCAGAGTGGAAGGGTTTCTGGAAGCACAAGGAAGGGTGAGCATTCCCCACCACATGGCTAAGCTGTCCCCTGGGGACATCTGCACAAGAAGGGAGTGGGTTTGCTTCAGGGTAGGCGGGGGCTGCTGCTGCTCCATTGAGAGGACCAACTTTGTGCACACAGACTGTCTGCAGTGTTCACAAAACATGGTCCGCTTAGGTCTTCAGTGAGGAACATGCACGCTCAGCAGGCATCCTGTGAGCAGCACCCCTGCATCTTGGGTGCTGATGAAACGGGAGGGTGACTGCTGTGTTTCGCCCTAGCTGGTGGTCTGACAGCCCGCTGTGCAGGGTGGTGAGGGACACCGCGGACCACGTGGACTGCGCCTGCTCGCACATGTCTGTGTATGCCGTCTACGCTCAGATGCACAACTTGTCCACATACAACGAAGCCTTCTTCTCTTCTGGATTCATATGTATCTCAGGTCAGTGGTGGTATTTCCAGTTAATAATGTTAAATTTTGTGAAAATGAAAGTCTTGTTTCCCACAGAGCTTTTGTAAATGCAAGATGCAGTCATGCTTAATTCATCGTGCGCCCGTTGTCTTATCAGTTTATACAACGGATGTTTATGGAGGGGCAACTCTCGACTGAGGTACAGTAAAGAACGAGCCAACCCAGAAGGAATATGTACTGTGTTGTGGGATAAAAATCAGATCATAAAAATGCGGTAGAGTTTATGGTGCTGTGGCTTAGAGGGAAGTTCTACAGCGAGCATGTCAGGATTGAGATAATACATGCAAAGAGTTTTGTATTTGCCTTTCAGAAATGCACCCCATAGGTTGATTAGTGCTCTACAGTTTAGGAGCTCTGAATAAAGCATTGTTTTAGACAGTAATTCATCTTAATTCTACATTTAGCCCTGTTTCTGGCAATCATAGACATTTGAATTGTGTTAATGTTTATCAAGCTTTTTATTCACCTACCACCACTAAACTATAAAATTTTAACATTTTTGCTATATTAATTGTACAATTGGAAGTCTAAGAATTCCTTGTATTTCTATCCCTCATCTGTCTATCACCCATTCTGAGCCCTGATTCTTGTTTTATAACCCATAACTACTTATATGAATACTTTGCTTATTATATTGAGAGCAGGTTATAGAGTAAAGGTTAAAACAATAAACCCTGGAGCCACACTCAGATCCTGGTCCTGCCATTAGCTAGCTGTAGAACCTGCAGCAGATGCTCGGTTGGCACACCTTCCCACCAGGCTTCACCTCCCAGCATCACAGCCAGACGGAAGCCCAGCAGTGAACTAATCCACTGTGACACATCCTCGGTGCAGGGACACATGTCCATGACCCAGGGTCACACACCCATGGTCCAGGGTCATGCATCCATTGGGGTCCAGGGTCACACATCCATGGTCCAGGTCACACACCCATGGTCCAGGGTCATACACCCATGGTCCAGGGTCACGCACCTGTGGTCCGGGTCACGCACAAATGGTCCAGGGTCACGCACCCATGATCCAGTTATCTCTTAAAAGCCCCACCTGCAGGGCATGTGGCTTTTGGGGGGCCATCTGGCTATAAATCACAACACTACTCATACAAGTTATAAGCCATATATACATATTAGGGTGACCATTATATTAACTCAGATATTTTTGATAATCTGGTTTAGTAATGTTTTGTATAAATATGTTTATCACTGAGTGTGTGTCTTTTTTATTTGGAATGTAAATAACCACTCTCTTAGTCTTTTTTTTTTTTTTTTGTGTGTGTGTGTGTATTTTAGGACAGGGTCTACAGGGTCTATAGGGTCTCACTGCATAGATTAGACTTGTAGTGATCCTCCTGTTTACAGCCTCCCAAGTGCTGTAATTACACCACGCCTAGTCTCAATCACTATCTCTGCATGTCCCGGGGGTGGGGCTGGCATGGCAGGCCAGGGATCAAACTCCTGGCCCCTGTGTCTTCCTAAGCAGGTGCTTTAATCCATTGAGCTATTTGGCCGGCCCTCTTAGTCTTTATCAGGAAAATTTTTTCTAGAGATATAATTAAATAACTAATTACTGTTTTTGACTCTTCCCAATATAATTTAATCTTACGTAGTTTTAAAATTTCTTTAATATATCTTAATTCTAAAACTGACAGATCTAATGGCAAATGTTAGTGATTTCTTATTCTTAATACTATCTTATAAATGATGACATTTCTTAATAGACATTTCTTGGTAGTACATGTAGCTCCAGAAACAGACATCTTACTTTATTTTAGCTAATGACTTTAAAGAGCAAATAAATTTCATAGAGTGATCACATGAATCAGAAGTTGTCAGGAAACAAAATCCAAAGTTACAATATTGAAATGAAAGTCTAGGTGTCATTTTATGTGCTCCCGTGGGCGTAAATTCAAGTGCCACTATGACCCACAAAAATTTCTTGCTCATTCCCAGTACTGAACATGAAAGCAAAAGTGTCTTTCTACTTCTTTCTCTCTCCACTTGCCTGACTCCCTCGGCTTCTCCTTTAATTGTGGTAGCAGGGATTGGATGCAGGCCTTTCACATGGGGCTGTATCCCCAGCCACCTTTGTTTTTCTTTAAGACAAAGTCTCACTAAGTCATTAATTTGCCTACGCTGGGCTTGAACTTGTGGTCTTTCTGCTTTAGCCTCCCAGAGTGCTGAGATTACAGTGAGGTGCCATCATGCCTGGCTGAGAAGTATCTTAACTGGTACACGTGTTCAGTCACCCTTGATGAAATAGCTCTAGAGTAAGAAACTTGGGAGTGAGACCTTGGGGCAGAATTTAAAAAAAAAAAATTAAAAAGTGCTGGGATCTAGCTCAATGTGAAGGCCCTGGTACTGCAATAAAATAAAATATAAAACTTTTTTTTTTTTTTTTTTTTTTTTATTTTAGGGAAGGGTCTACAAGGTGTTCAAGCATCTCACTACTAGATCGGCCTCATAGTGATCCACCTGTTTACAGCCTCCCAAGAACTGGGAATACAGGCATGCACCACCATGTCCAGTTTCAATTGCAGTCTCAGTGTGCCCCGGGGGTGGGACTAGCACAGCAGCAAACAGAATTTTGAAATCTAAACAGAAAGCATTTTTTGGATGTAGTGGTAAGCTAACAAGAGCTGAGGTGCTTCCTGGCACAGCTGCTGACAAGCCTGTCTTTCCTGCAGCTTACTGTAGATGGGGCAGTGGAGCTTTGCCCATGGATTTGAGAACCAACCTCTGCAAGTCAGATCTGAGTTTGCTACCTTTGATTTGGAATACATTTCTATAATTTAAAATTACTGTTGTTTTTACCCTCTGTCCACAAGACATTACCGTAAAATTTCTTGTTCTGCCAGCCAGGCCTACAGCTCTATCTTTGAGCTTCAGCTGAGCTTCAGCAGGAGATGAATGTGTCCCTCTGCGGGGCCACAGGGGCCTGAGCAGAGGAATTTTGTGTCTTAGGGACTCATTCTGTAATGCAGGTCAGCCCTTTCTGAGTGCCCCTCAGAATCTGATAGCAGTGTGTTGGTGCTGCTGAGTTACAGCAGCTCACAGACTGAGTCTCAGCTGCTTTGTTTCTGTCCGAGTAGATCATGGTGTGTCAGTACCAGTTCTTGTTTGCAGGTCTGGGCGCTTCACTAGAGCAGAACAACTCTAGCGATCTCTGTGCTTGGGAGCATGCACAGAGCCCAGAAAGCTTAGAGGGATGAAAATATGTGTGTGCTGAGGCTTAACCAGCTCATCAAACCCCAGCAGAGGTCATCGGCGAGGGGAGAAAGATAGAGCCCAGCAGTGCTGTGTGTGCCCGAGAGCGCAGTGGTGTGGAACACACTGCCGCGCTGGCTTGGGAGAGATGCAGCTGCATACCTTCTTTGGGTGATGATGCCACAATGGTGTCATGTGGTGATGGAAGCTCACACGGCCGAGGGACACCGCACTGTCCCTATGAAATGTCCCCGGGGCCACCCCTGACACTGGGTACTGTTTCATCAGTGACAGGCTTTTGGGCTGGATTTGTCCTGGTGTTTGCTCCTGACACGAGTGCTCTCATCCTGCAATCTTCAAGAGAACCTGTGCCGTCCCTGTTACATTTCTGTTGCAGCATCAGTAGCCGAGCGAGGTATTAGACGGACACGCCTGCCAGCGGGTCTCCTTGGTTTGCAGGACTGAGACCTCAACTATTTCTGTTTCTTTTTGTTTCTCTTAAGGTAGAGAAATATCATTAACACATTTATTTACTTTTTATTAATTACTGACACAGTGCCAGCTTTATAATAAAAGATTGTTTATGAAGTGCTAGATGAGTTACAGGTTAAATAAATTAGCACAATTGGAAGTCCTTTGAAACGCAATCGTTCCTTTGTTCATTGCTCATAAAAATTCGAGAATATTTAGGTTGTGCTTTTTGTGTTCTATAAACTGCGCATCTCAGAGCTTTTCCAGAAGAAAGTAATATTGTCAAGTGCATTGTATCTACTTCCAAATTATTTTTTTAAGTAAGAGAGAATTTCCAGAGCTTTTGTGAGGCTCCTCCAAAGATTCCGAGCACATATTGTCTGCAGTCAGTATCGTAAGGTCGCCGTGCCGACTGCCGCGCTGCCGGGGGCATCACAACAGCTTCACGTTAGCTCTCAAATGAAGCGTTAATCCCGGGAAGGATGGAAGAATGCGGCTCGGAGCAGTGGCAGGGTCCGGCTGTGGGCGCGGAGAAGTCAGCTTGGCAAAAGCCGCTGCTGGCTTTTGCTAGCTGGCTGTATGCGTTAGGGTGAGCCTAGGCGGAAGTAAGAGAGGACAGCTGACAGACCTGTGCACACGTGCTGTGCCCAGGTCAATCAGTCCTGTCGCTTTCTGGTGTCCCAACACCTCTCACTTCTCTGCTGTGCTTTCACTGAGGCGGTGCCCCCTCCAGCTTGCCTCTGCACCGTCTGGAGCCAGCTCTGGCACCCACGGCAGTTGCTATGTCGCCATGTGCCGAGAGGAAGCACTCTTTGGCCCTGTTCATGAGCCATGCGACCTTCTCTGGAAGCACCCGGAATCTTTCTTCCCACATCTCTTTCATCAGAATGGCGTTTCATGACCTGTCCTCACTCGGCGTCTTTCTGGAAGGAGCGCAGATAGAACTGTAGAGACATGGACCAGGGAGCGTGCAGAGCGCCTGGCTGCTGATCCTTTCCCTGACAGGCGGTTATTTGTTAAAGGAATAAATCACTGAATGTACGGTGTTGATCAGTATTTTTGGCTGTGTGCCAGATTCATGCTTTCACTTCCTAACCCATATCATGATAGTCATTTTTAATCAGAAGCTTTCAGGAATGTAGCCTCTTTCACTTAGAATGATTTAACACAGAACTCTCTAGTAGAACTCGCTGTGATGAGAGAAAGGTTTTGTTCTGGTAACCACCAGGCATGGATTGATCATGACCCCTTGAAATATGGCTGAGCCAACTTAGAAACAGAATTTTTAATTCCAGTTCATTTCAATTCAAGGACATTGGAATTTCATTGTGTGTGACAAGTGTCTTGCCTGTTGAACAGCACAAGTTTAGCATACTGGTGATTTGGAGGCAGTCTCCCGGGCAGCCCCATCCCTTGGGAATATAGCCCACCCATGCCCCCACATGCACAGTGTAGAGACTCGGTGCTCCAAGTGCTTCTTTCTCACCTTCCCTACTAGAAATCTTTTCAGTGTTGACTCATCTTGTCTTGCCTTTGACTGATGAGTAGCAGCGGGCAGGTACTGAGCCAAGTGCAAAGCTACAGAGGCAGGGTCTCCATAGAGAAGAAGAACAAGAGGAGAAGCCGGCATTCAGCGGGGGACAGAAAAATACAGCTTCAAAATCTTAGTCGATTTAAGCAAGCATGAGGCTTGGGTCTTGCTTGGGTTTCTCATCCCAGGGAACCTGGAGTGTGTCTGCGCGCCTCCAAGCATCACCAGCTGTAGACAGAGACTGCCAAGGAGAGGCAGCTCTGGACGGGCACCCCAGTGTGATGGGCCTTGTGCCTCCGCCCTGGCACTGCACAGCAGGCTCTGGACAATGCGTCACTCCAGATTTCTTGGCCACAGTTCCAAAAGCCTGACTCACGTGCAGCCTCTCCTCCTGCAGACAGCTTTGCCTGCTCTATTAAAATACAAGCAGGTAATGCAAGTCCTTTGCCATGGGGGGTTGCGGGAGGCATGTCTGATGTGCAGGC